GGGAGGAGGTAGAGAAATCAGGAGTGAAGTTGAGCCTGGGACGAAGACAGAGGTGAGGGAAGGTGTTTTAAGATTTAGTTTTTAGTTCTCATTACCCTGCTCTGATTTGATTAGCAATAAATTAAGTTAATTTCGCCAGGTCGAGTCTGTTTTGCCCTTAACAGTAACTGGTGAATGATCTCTCCCTGTCCTTATCTCGACCCATGAGCCTTTCATCATATTTTCTCTCCCCTGTCCAGCTGAGCAGGGGAGTGATTGAGCAGCTTTGGTGGGCACCTGGCGTCCAGCCAGGGTCAACCCACCACATAAAGCAATGAACTTTGTTAGTTTAGCACAATCTATAAGCAATAAAATATATTGCAATATATTCCATTTTCCCCTTTATCTCATTGTCCATAACCATCCTTTCTTTCCAACTTCTGTCCAACAACTTTCCATACCATTGGAATCAGAGTTCCAAAACAAATCTGAAGTTTTAAACAAGTCATCAGAATAAATACCTTGTAAAAGTTCACTTCTGTTGTCATTTGATTTTATAAACTTCAAAATGAAACAGCCCAGTGGAGACATGAAAACTGCCTACACATGAAGTACCTCTCTCCTACCCATTATTTTAAAGCTCATCAGCACATGAGCAAGGGCAGATTATTTAGCAAATAAAAGGTGAACTCAAAGTATTTCTGCTGAAGTCACCAGGAGCTTCTGATACTCAGTACTCTAATTATTAAAAAGTCCTGCTAAAAATAAGTGCCAAAACACAGATTCCATAGGCAGACATCTTTCTCATCTCACATCAACCGCAAATGTTTTTAAAAAAGAAGTAATTTTTTGGTAGGTGCCTGTAAGCTGTTTGGAGGCAGGGAAGGGACCTGCTAGTTTATTCATGCAACGCTCACACAATAGTAAACTATTTGTCATGCATATTTATGCCTGTGATTCAAGTAATCATATAAAGAATAAAAATATGCAGTACCTTGTAATGGTAATACTTTCACACCAAATTCTTCAAGGTAGCCAAGAGCACGAATGAGATCTAGCTCCTCCTGAATAGCACTTGGACAGTCTACAATAAGTTGTAGACAGCACCTATATAAGAAGGAAACAAATTTTTCTAAAAATTGTTGAATAAATTCAAAGTTAAACTTTTGGAAAAAGTTAACCTGTGAGTAAGGAAAAAAAAACCAACCAAACCCCACAGTAATTTACTGTGCTTATGAAATGTTAAAATACTCACTAGTCCTGTAACACACATTGTAAGTGTTTGGCACTGTATCTCTCATGGCTGGTTAAACATTTTAACAAAATTCTATTCTTGGACTGCCACAACCTTCTTCACCTAGTTGCGATAAGAACATGGCCTAAACCCTCTTGAATTTAGACCTGCAATGAATTTAACGAAAGACGTTGAAGACATCGGTACTTAAATATATATTTATTTAGGGAAATATTTCTTATATCATTATTGTGTTTTGGTGTTGCCACGTACTAGAAGATAAAAGCAAAATTCTGCAAAAAGTTGAATGGAAGTGAATGTTAGAGCTATTGTCACAAATTCAGTTTCCTCAACTAGGTTCAGCAAATGAAAACAAAGCTGATTAAAAAAAAAAAAACCACCACAAAATTACTCTGAAGATGAATTAATGCATACAATTATTAATAACAGTATTTTAAATATTTTCCACGTACTAGAAGATAAAAGCAAAATTCTGCAAAAAGTTGAATGGAAGTGAATGTTAGAGCTATTGTCACAAATTCAGTTTCCTCAACTAGGTTCAGCAAATGAAAACAAAGCTGATTAAAAAAAAAAAAACCACCACAAAATTACTCTGAAGATGAATTAATGCATACAATTATTAATAACAGTATTTTAAATATTTTTAAAAAAATTTTAAGTTTTATGAATATTATATTGACATAATCAGCTTTTAGCTAAATTTTTTAAAACAAAACTTGCATTCTGGTACAGTGTGTTCATATGTCCTTTTATTATACACGTTTAACAAAAAATCCACATGCAACTGTCTCAATGATTTAAAATGGCTTAATTCATTATGCACATTAAATCAGGAAAGTATTTTATTTGTGCAATTTGCCATATGGCTTTTCTCTCTACATGTTAATTAAGAAATAGACACGTTTACATGAAAAATAAAACTGTATGTTACCTACACTCCCATCTGAACCCGTCACATTTTTCAGGAGCATTGACAAACATTTCAGGGTGAAGTGGAGATTAAAACAGGAGTGGAAGGAAAGACAACTAGCTAAAGAGAAGATAAATACGTTCCGCCTAAAACAACTCATACAGGAAGGTTACTAGGAGACCTACACACTGTTATAATCACTCATGGAAGTAAGTTAAATTACCATGACACAACTGGTTGGAGAAAAGTCAGAGAAGGAGCAAAACATCTTACTAAACAGAATAAACACACAGTCGGTCACACATTCATAGCAAGTTTTCGAGCTATAGACTGCATATTTTGAAATATCACCATAAAACCATAAGATAAAAGTTGATCACAAGACCCTTATGAGATATTAAAAGCAATGATACTTCGTATTTCCTATAGCCTGCTAATGAAGAAGACTCTCAATAGGAGATTGGGGGGGGGAAAAAAAAAAAAAGTAAATAAACCCTAATTTTATTACGACATTAAATCAGTTTTTCATAGTGATTATAGAATCATAGGATAGTTTGGGTTGGAAGGGACCTTTAGAGGTCATCTAGCCCAACCCCCCTGCAGTGAGCAGGGACAGCTTTAACCAGATCAGGTTGCTCAGAGCCCCGTCCAGCCAGACCTTGAATGTTGCCAGGAATGGGGCCTCTACCACCTCTCTGGGCAACATGGTCGAGTGTTTCACCACCCTCATTATGAAAAATTTCTTCCTTATATGTAGTCTGAATCTACCCTCCTTTAGTTTACAGTCTCTCCCCATCTATAGGTCCCCTTTCAGTACTGAAAGGCTGCAATAAGGTCTCCCCGCAGCCTTCTCTTCTCCAGGCTGAACAACCCCAACTCTCTCAGCCTTTCCTCATAGGAGAGGTGCTCCATCTCTCTGATCATTTTTGTGGCCCTCCTCCTGCTATTTTATGTTGTGATAGTAACTGGGGGCGACAACTGTGGTTCAATGCCATAACATGGAAAAGGTTCAAATGACACACACAAAAACCTTCTTATCCACAGAGAAAGACTTGCATGTTTCTTCTTCTTCAACCTGAATTCTGTAACAGATCATTCCAGCAACCAGGGACAGCAATGGTGTACACACACACAAAGCAAGGTGGGGAAAAAAAAAAACCACGAACAAAACCCCCCCCCCAAAAATCTTACAGAAGCCAAAGATATTGTTTCCATTTACCATGTAATTTTACATGAAGAGAAATAAACCCATGTAAGATTTACCTGCTCTTATAGGGAAAACAAAATTCAAGTTTCAATTAAAAGAGCAATATGTATTTATGCATACAATAACTGTAAATATACCTGGCCAAATCCATACAGCTATCGGTCAAACTCGTTGAAGAATTGAAATATTCTCTGCCAGCAGCCAAAACTAGTTCAATACTTTTTGCATAGCTGACTCGGTACTGTGGCTTCCCTTTTGATGAACTTGGTAGGTCCGCTGACCAAATACTGCAATGCATCATTTGCCCAGCTAAGTGGATATTGTCTATACTGCTTGAGCATAAAAGACTTTCTGTGAATATCTAAAAGAAAGAACAGTAATTTAATAATCTGCAGCAGCAGCTTCAAGTAAGCTTATCTGCATTGTACGGAACCAACCCCTTTGAATAAAAGGATCTTTGAAGGCAAAAGAATATATTCAGTCCAAGCAGAAAATGTAACTCCTACCAAGGAGAGTATTTCCACAATTTATTTAAGTTGAGCTAAAATTAACTAGTAGCTATTTATTTCTACTTCCTGTAGAATAAAAGCTTTTTAACTGCCTTTTTACAGTATGACTTAGAGATCAGAAATTATTTATACCTACATTCTGAGGTGTTAATAGGATGTAAGAATCTGAAAAGGCAGTTCAGTATTAAGAACTTAAAATCAACAACATATGAGAAGAAATTTTGTATCCCTGAAGAAACTAAAAATATTTAGAACTGAGCATATACAATGTTTTTTAAGTCTCAGTTGAGACTATCTTCAAAGAATGCATACTCATATAATGCTGCATCTGCCACAAAACACCTAACTTATTCTCAGGTCAAAGTTTAGACATTCAAAATCATCTCACTTCAAGGTTAAAAATAATTAAATACTAATAAAAAAACCCTTATATTAAGATCAGAGCAAAGCAAATGCTATTATTTTCAGAGTGCTCTAGTCCAGAAACTTTTTTAAATGCAGTTGAAAAAAAATTCCAGGTCCACTAAGCCTTAGCCTACTACAAAACCATGAACATTAAATAAGTTGCAGTTGTCTTTGAGCAACTTAAAACTGTACATCTACAGAGAAAGAGTAACTTTATGTATAGGTTGAATAGCATTGCTTTTTCCCTTCAGGTTTTTTTTCTAATTTTCTTTCAAAACTTCTCCCAAGACCTAATCAGACTGGTAGCCATAAGCAATTAAATCTGCAAACTGCAATAAAACACTCAAAGTTTTAAAATATGTGACTATTTAAACACCGATTATAGTAGACATGGCACTGTTTCTGTAATCAACTGCAGTATATTGAAGTGAAAATGTAGATGAACAATACATGTCACAGCAAATTCTACATCAGTCTAATAGCTGTCCTTTGCAAATATTAATGATGTAGGTTTGGGGTTTTGGCAGGGTTTTTTTTCCTTCAATGAAATTAGATTTCTCATCTCACATTATTTTACTTCAACTGCAAGCAGTAGAAAGGCCATAATCTTACAATGACCTTGGATGGTATCAAACCAGAACTGCATGTTTAAGAAATGCTTGGCTGAAGATAACATTTAGCTAGAAGATTGCTTATTTTCCTTAGTTTTAAGTGTTTATAACTAAACACATTTGTACATAGAATTACCAAGTCTCAAGAAGTTGACTCAATTTTTAAAAAATTGAATTCTAGTAAAAGACATACAGGATATTTATCAGAGGGGCTTTTGATGAAATGAATTAACGCAGGAAGTTTCTGATTTGAATGAAAATACCATAAAAGAGCCAGTAGGCAACCAAGTAACATGACACATGAAAATGTATTTATATTTGTGAGCAACAATATGAAATGAGAATTTGTAGCTTACTTGGGACATAAACCAGTAAGAAAACATAAAACTCACCTCATAGCAAGTATCTGAATGTAAGCACGTATATACTTTCTGCTGCATGTCTAACATATCCTGGAGCAATTCCTTCCAGTGTGTCTCACTGACTGATGGTTGCCTACAAACATTTTAAAAATTAAATATTCTCTCCTTCAACAAATTTAAAGAAAAACAGTAGATAACACTACAGTTCCGTCACCAAAAGTATGAGTTCTCAAACGCTATCTCAATCTTTAATTGGACTTTTAACCAAAAGTGATTTAAAGACAGAATACTTTTTATATTAATTAACATTAAAACAGTGTCTGTGGGATAAAATTATTTGACAACAACAATGCAGTACCCGAAGTGTTTCTTCTGTTTGATTTCTGTGGGATAAGACAGGGATTTAAGTAACCTTTATCAAGATCCCCCAGGTAGGTTTTGATAACTTCCAATAGTACACCAGAAAGTTGGACGTGCTATCTTCCTGCTGCTCCAAGAACAGCTGGGTAAAAACAAATTTGTAACTGCAACTGAGGATCATTAAAATGCTGTTCATTGTAGGCAGTCTCAAAGGACTAATCGATTGCATGCAATCACAGGCAAGTAGAGCTGTAAGTTTATTTTGTTCCTTAAATTGGAATGGTGTTCAGATTCTTGACCCTCTGGATCCATGGATCTCCATTTACCCACAAAGCCTCCTATACAACTTCATGTGCTCTATCAAAACTTTTACTAGTAAAAACACTATGAAGGTTTTTTGACATTATCTTGAGCCTTTCAGATTAAAAAAAGACTTTTTAAGCTCCACAAGCTAGTCCAGCTACTAGTGATTTTCTCATGTGGCATTAGCTTTCATTTTGGCAAAGCAAAGCGTCTCTACAAAAACTGAAAAATCAACATTTTTCCTACAGAGGCATTGACTTGATCTTTCTAAAAAAAGGTTTTTAGAAATCAAAAAGCTTTCAGCATGTCCAAGCTAAATACTACCCTACCATCACTGATAAACTGTTGTGCATGTTTACTTTAAATCAGAAAAAAAGAAACAACCCCCAGTGATGGCTGTTTTTCCCAGGGTTCAATATTTTTCTCTGCTTATGCCAAGAGCTGTGTAATAATTCATCTACAGTTGGAAGACGAGTTAAATGAAGTAGTTCTTAAACAGAAAAATTGAAAAATTATACTGCAAATATATGAGGTAGAATCAATACGTAAAATCAATAAATTACTATTACAAGAGATCCTAAGAAAACACATCCAAAAAAAGAAAGCGTTATTTTACAAATCCTACACTCTCAATAAAATTAAATAGGTCTTAAAGGACCTCATTCACAATGTGTTAACTTCTACTGTTCTCATCTTGCCGCATTTTGCAGCAAGTATGCCTTATAGGCTTTACTTGAACACAAACATATCGAAACAGGTTTGAAGCAAGACAGAGTTTTCTGCACGTGGAGAATGCAGCCAAAACACTGATCATGTAAATCATCAGTTTAACAAATGTGTTTTATGTACACTGTGTTCGGTTTGAACACTACAGTTCCCTACTGCACAAAACAGGCAGGTATGCTCTCTGAGGATAAGTATTTGTTACCTTACTGTGCTTTCCCTCTTATCTCCCATTCCCTTTTGAATACTAACTTGCGACCTGTGTGCCTTGTCAGCCTAATCATCAGCTTCCGTGCCTCCTCCGCATTGTCCTTTGTGTCTTTCACAAAGGAAACAGGCTTCTGAAGTCCATGTTTCTCCAACAGCTCTGACACACTGTAAATGAATAGTCAACATTTTTTAATTCTGCACAGTTGTACAACTACCTCTGCTGCAGCAGTCTTAAAGCTGTCTCAGACAATGTACCACAAATGTAGACTCCATAAAGTCTATAACAGTATAGATTAGCCAGAGTAACATTATTTACTCAAAAAAACCTATTACTGTAGGGTAAATGCATATCACCAATAACCTGATGACATATCTTTTGATCACTCAAAGCATTACAGAGTATCAAGATCAAAACAAATTCCCCAGATATTTCAGAAGTAACCATCCTCCCCCTCCACAAAAAAAAAACCCCAAACAAACCCCAGACTTTTATTCCAAGGAAATTATCTATGCAGTTTTGTAATATTCTAATAGCTAAAAGCATTCAAAATTTCTAAGTTCTGAATATAAAGAACTTACAGATTATCTTGTCAACAGCACTAAAAACATGACAAATATTCTTGCTGCTTTCTTGTCATAAAATATTTCTTGGCTATGCCTAGTAACTTCTGTAAGAATGCATTACTTATTTTAGCAAAATTAAATACCTAAGAATTTGTTCCAGTTCATCTACTTCATCATGAAGAGTGTTAGTTTTATCTGTTTCAGGCCTGCAAATATATTATAAAATTAATATTAAATATACACATTTCCATACTTCTTGTAATTCTTCATATAATTCATATTACATAGATATAAAGATAAGCAGTTTGAAACATTCCTTAATGAAAATCAAATATCTGTTCACTTGAAAAGATTAAAACTGTTGGCTTCTTGCTGGGAAGACAGCTAAAATTGAGAGGGTCCCTCAGTCTCCCAAGAACAGAGCTTTTCCTTCTTCTTTACACTTTTCTCATGCTCTCTCCTTCCTACATGTAAAAGATACTGGGAGAATAGTTTACATATCCTCCTCATGCTTTCACTTTCTCAAGAATTACTTGTCTTTCATATAGGTCTTCCATATAGAGACCTCTCTCACAGGGCCATATTGCTAAGCTAAGTGCAAGGCACCACTAACTGTAACAAGACGTACAAGACCAGTAAGATAGCACTAACACTTGGTCTCAATTCACAAGGATACCAAAGTCTAAGAAACTAACACAGAAACCTTGGTCTAGGCTGCCACTTTATATCATGTTTTGTTGCATTATTTGGTAGAGTACGTATACAGCACAAGCGTACGTATGGCCACGCCAACTCAGATAGGAACAGAACATTCCAGGAACATTACCTACCCTTTTGTGAGTTAACAACTATTTTTAAAGCATTAGTTCACAACTACATTTAACTTATGTAAAATATTTACAAATAACTAGCTGAAAATGTTTACCCATATCCTCTTTGTGGAAGGCATTCTAAAATATCATAACAGAGAGCGAGCTGGTCATCTCGTTCACAATTATAAATACATTCCAATGCTGTAATCATAAGCTGGTCTTGATCAGGAATAATTTTTTGCTGACACTGACAAGAAAAGAAAGCACATTATTTTTAGTCTTCTAATTCAACAATTAAGTTTCTTCTGAATAAAAGAAGATGTGCACTCCAAGTAAATAAACAGTCTTTAGTTGTAATTAGAAGGTCTCTTGCCAACAACTTAGTGAAATACCTGCAGAAGTTCCAACCTGAAACATAACTCGGCTAGTTTCTTACGCTGCAGATACTGGAAAGAACAGTGGTATGCCATTATACCCTTTTTGAATTTGAGAGGTGGAGAGGGTACAGGGCAGAGGAAGGCAACTGCTGCAAACATTTGTCAGACTTATTTAGTATGTACAACAGTATCAATATGTACAAAATAGCTGTGTTTTTCCTTCACTGGTTGATTTCTGTTCACACACTTAGAACATTCAATAGTATGCAAAAATGTGCTTATGTGCCCTGGAGTAATTATTTAAACTGCAGAAGCAGCATGAAATACTCACGCGGAAGGTAACATCAACCCTTACCCATTGGACTCTTGACTCCATCTTAATGGCCCCATTTTATTCTTTACATTTGTTGTATGTTGTAGAAAGTGGGGGGGGAGGAGGAGGGGCGGGGAGACAGGACAGCGAGAAGTAACTTGAAATTTACTGCTAGTAAATTTGTCAGGGAGAAAAAATGTTAGTGAGATCAAACTCTTTCATATCCATTTTTTAAAAAGCAAATATGCCAGGAATTTGCTTTAAACACATCACCATAGAATTATTTCAAAGAAGAGTCTTCACAATAATTTTTGTTCTACTAGGTCAAGATCATAATTACATTAGTTTGACAATCTCATCAAGGACAATTTAGTTGCATCATAACTTATGCTATAATACTTTTTAATTCATATTTTCTAAAACATAATAAAACCTGGGTCCAAGAACAAGGGAAAGATCAGGGAGACGATCTGATTTAGAAGATGAACTAACCCTATTTATGAATTCACCTCTTCAGGACAAGAATTTCCAAAGAAACCAGTAGAATCATCAGGGCTCTATACTTACAGCAGGCTTTGAATTCTGAAATATCTTCAGAGGTAGAGTCAGGTCTTTCTTTGCTAATGTTACTAAATATTCTTTAAAAAGTGAATTTGCAAGACCAGGGGACTGATTTTCACAGCGGTGGAGAAAAGGGATCATCCATTGATAAACATTCTTCACATATTTTTCATCAGAGGACTGGAAAGCACAATGAGTTAGAGAGAGGGGAAAATAGAACAACTTCAGCTTCATTGTCCAAAACAAACAAGAAAAACAAAAACAACCACAGAACATATTATGATCAATATAACTGAAACAGTGTCTTCACTTATCACAAAAACCAGCTGAAGCCTGACATTCACCACTGCTGCACAGATCACTACATCATGAAGCGCTGAAACAATCCGTCATCTTTTCTGCTACCCAATGGCTTGAAGAAACCAAGCAGTAAAGGAGTAAAGCCCATTACATGAGGAAAGCCTAGCTGTCCTCCTCCTGCAATTTCAGAATGAGTGAAAGATCGGCTTGCATTCATGTCAGAGTAGCATTACTTTCAGTATGCAAGAATGCAAGACAGAAAAATAAATGATGAGTGGTGATATAAATCCTAGCAAAATTTTGAAAATTCTGAGGAGCTTCAAGTTCAGGAGTATTCTCCTCTGGCGCTTACGTATTCTTCGACTGAATTTCAGAGCCCTGTTCAATCTCTAGGTATTTTTCAACCTTTCCAAAAGGTCTTTTTCTATTCTGAAATGCCATGTGCAGGCTGAACACAGAGAAGATGAAAAACACATATGCTGCAGGGGCAAATACTAAGATTTTTTGCCAATATTTAAAGACACCAAAAAACATCCAAGGAAAACATTCAATGTTGTTGTATCTGCAGCATCATCTACAGCTACACTGAAGATCCTTTAGAAAGGGTCAATGAAAAAGCAATTCACAGCTTTCAAGACTGGATTTATTAACGTTTAGTCCTGTGCTGAGGACAAACAAACAGGTCTTTGAGAAAACTGAGACACTGTAGCATTTGTTAAAAACAAATAAAAACCACAAAAAAGGAACAGTAAAAGTGTTGAATTCTTGCTGATTTAAAGATGGAGGTTCATCAGAAAAATGTCAGCCACTCACAGTATTTTATACACATAGGATCTAGGGTAACCTGAATTACTGGAAATAAAGGTATACTTACTGATTCATTCAAAATACTTACATTCTTCATCAACAGTCTCAGCTTTTCAATGTCTTTCATCTCTACAAGTTCCTTCAAAGTTAAGGTTCGATCACCATCAGTCTCATAAACTACTGTCTCAAGAGTGATCAGATTGTCACAAAGCACCTGCAGACCAGGAATATTCCTCTCCATGCCAAGACGAACAAGGGACAGAGCACAGTCCACCTGAAAAATAATAAACCCCCCCTGCTGTACAACTGTTTGCCAAAACCCAACTTCAAGTCCAATCTGTGTCCTATTTGTGTGTCTATTTTCTTTCCCTCTTCCTTTTGTTTAATAGGCAATTCTAAGTTCCTAGAAGGTTTTTTCTGAATCCTAAATGGATTGCTCTTCCCAGCTTTATAAAGACCAAATAAAATGCTTAATCTTAGTGGATGATGTCATTATAGGCTTTTGACCCAGATGCATCCTATTGATGCACATAAATTAGGAGAATACTATTCCTTCTGGAGATCACACACAGAGATATATCATGTCATCTTACTGCATGGAATATGAAGGATTGCTTTAAACTAAGATAATCAGTTAACTGACTGAAGTTATGCATACTTCTGCATGTAACATAACTCTTCTAGCTGACCAAAATTGACCAAAAATTTTAATTGTTGCATTTTATTTCACAGAAGATAATGACAGTCTTTTTCCCTGGTAACTGAAAATACCTTTTATGAAAGATTCTGTTTCAATTACAAAGAACACTGTATGTATTCAGTGAAGGAGACATAAGTCTGAAAGAGTAGAATGCAATTTCATTTATATGTTAGTAATTTAATTGATCCTTGGAAGTTGCTTTTATTTCCATACCTACTCATAGGCTGTTAAGATCACAGGTAACTATGATTAAAGAGCCTTGAAGGACTGCAAACTTGAAGAATAAAAGAACTCGCCCATCAGAACTTACTCACAGTGATACTTCCAGCCAACCTCCTTTTCATGCAGCTAAATTGGCTTGAGAATCAGTAAAATACTGGAGCGCGTCAGTGATGAGCTCTATTCTTACTTGCAATGCTTATCTTTACCACATAGAGCTTCAAACATTTTTCAGTTATGAAGAAAATAAAGCAAAAATAAGCTGCATGTTAGTCCCACAGACACATAAACCTGCCAGGACGAAATCATGACAGTACTGCATATTGGCATATGAGTGACAAATGGGACTGCCACATATCGAGATATATGGCACAGTATCACGTGACAGATAATAAAAAATGTTTCCTGATACCCTGTGAACAACATTCCCTCCCACAGTTACAAACATAAAATGTAATGGTAAACATTTTTCATGGACTACAAAAATGCTACTGTCTGCTATGGTAAGCCAAGTGAAAGGGAATCTGTTGGCCTTCTATTCATTCCTATCGATAAATTATTTGGCTGAGTAAACTTTAAAGCAAGCGTAAGTACACTGCAAAAGAAAAATACTTCAAAAGCCATAATGAAGATTGAGACACACTGTATATTTCTGAGGGAAAAGCATCCCATCAGTATGCATTAAGACAGGATTCTGCTGAAGAAGGCTGATCAGTCTGAGTCAGCCATCATCATTTCCTCACTGCTATTCTCACCTGCATCGCATATTTTTCAATTTCCTGTGCTCTGCTCAAATACCAATCAGTAACGAGATCTACTGAAAGGTCAGTAGTCCTGTACTTCAGTAACTCAGGTTGTGTTTCATACAGAAATTCACCTTCATCTTGTAAGGTTGGTTCAACAATCATCCTTTAAAAAAAAAAAAAAAGTAAGTATATGTTTAAGTATACATGTGCTTGTGTTTTTTCACATCAGTCTTTTTCCTAACACTTCTGGTTGTTCTCAAAGAAAATGATACAATCAACCTACCACTACACTCAGTAATTTGACGAGACTTAAATGCCAATCACAGTAAGTGAAATGTACATAAATATAGAAAAAACTTTTTGCTCTTTCTACATATTTACCTGCATTCTGCTTTTTCACACCAATCTTCTTCACGATGTTTCTGCTCATTCCAAGGAAGAATTTTCAATGTCCCCTGCTTGTAACTGGTATAACAGAAAAGGGAAACATTACACTTTTTTTTTTTAAATTGTGACAGCATTCAATTGATGGAATACAAAGCATATGCAGTATTTCCTGTGAATTCATAATAAGCATGCAATTCAATTACAGTATCAATTCTTTAAGATTTATCACTTCTTAATGAAGCTATACAAGTGTGATTTTGCCTCTATGATATCTGTACAAACAAATATTCTAACTATACTGTTAGAGCCACTTAAAAAAAAAGATAATTGATTTTCTTACTGACCATACCTTTAAAAAAAAAAAAAAAAAAAGGGAAAAAAAACACTAAATGCTTTAAGAATTTTTACTGCTTCACAGTAAGTAATTCTGACTTCATATGCTGTCATGGAAGACTGAAATGAGCAAAAACCTACGATCTTCACAGCTTAAAAAAAAAAAATACAATTCTTCAAATTTTAGCACAAATCCTTTTACTGAATCAAAACAACATATGCCCTGCTGTGCTGCTCTTCCCAATTAAGTTTAATGCAGTTTTCTCACTACAACCTTCCATGGTGAAACATTCCTTAAATATTGAGGTTGAAGAAAAAAAAAAAATGTTTAAAATGCAGTTTAAAAACACCACAGGCTATTACTAGAATGATTACTTATGGCTTGCTGTTGTAGGCTAGTTGTTTAAGCAGCATAAAACCTGGGAGTAATAGGTCAAACTACGTAGAACACAAACTAAGGGGGAAGAGAAGAGCCATATAGGTTCTGGCATTTATAGAAATAAGAAACAAACCATGTACAAAGTAAAGACATGAAAGTTTCAGCATACTAGCGCAATAAGCTATTTTAAATCTCATTGATTTTCTCCTGACCCTGACAATAAACAGCAATAGCAATAGCAATACTACATGGACATTCCCTATCTATAAATTAAGAACTGACACAATCTTCTCATCCCTTGAGGATCAGCACTGTAACTCGGTAGCTTAAAAAGAAACAAAATTCCAACAAACAAGTCAATTTCACAACATAGTAAGAGTCAAAACAATAAACTAAAAATCAGTAACTCCATCTAATTTAGCAACAGCCATTAAACACACTGAACAAAGCAAGGCACCTCAGTACTAACTGTCCTGTACACACACACACACTTCTCCCCGGAGGTCAGCCACCCTTTCTTTCCCTCCTCTACACGCTAACAGCAATACCCCAGCCTTTTATCCATAGCAATTCCAATGCTCCAAATGAAACATGCAATAGAAATCCAACAATAAATTGGCAGAGACAGATTTGCAGGCTATAAAAGTCAAAAGAAAGGAGGGGAGAAGACAGAAAATTGCTAATTCCTGTGTCTCAGCTATAGCAACTCTGCGTTCAATTCCAGTTCAGTTGGACAAAATGCTCCACAATTATCTTTATAATTAGGCACCATGCAGTAACATCACTGAAAAATAATTAATAAAGCAAACTCCAAATTAACATTTATGGTAGAAGCGCCACAAATAAAGTCACTTTCTGATTTTAGAAAGATTCATCATCAGCCCGTGTGTTCTGGGGTTTGGGGCAGGGAGGGGGAGGAGGGAGGCTGTTTGTTGAAGTGTTAGATAACATAATTTATCAATTAATTTTAAATATTAATGTTTAAAGCTGGGTTCATAAACTAAATTAATAAGGTTATATTTCAAATGTTATACATGAGAGTGTCATTACGGAAGGCCCAGTTTGTAGTGAAGAAGTTCTCTCTACCAGTTGAAATGTCAAATAACAGAAAAGCCAAAGTGTGCTTACCACTCCCTTCCAAAATATAAAATGAAGACACTATGAGTAGGTCTACATGTTACAATCAACAATGCTTTCCTTTTCCATGTTCCAGTAAACATAAAAGAAAACCATACAAAATTTTATTGCCCAAGACAATCTCTTTTCATAGTAAAATTTTTCCATTCACTTCCTAGTAGGCTTAAGAAGACATTTCAGCGGGGGACTGGTTGGTTGGTTTGTTTGGGTTTTGTTTTGTTTGGGGAAGGTCTTTTTTGGTTTTGTCTTGTTAAAAAGAGAAAACAAGAGCTTTTATAAAGCAGAGGACAGACAAGGGTTTCATTTTAGAAATGGTTTCAAATCACATCTGCAAAATCGGAGAACATGAGAGAAAAACAGTAAGAGGAGATTTCCAGGTTTTCTAAAGAGGAAGGTCTAATTCAGTTTTAAGGTCAGAGTCCAATTCTTTCTATTACCAATGGCAACTCTGTGGGTTTTTTTTTTTCCTTCAAGCATTTCATACAGCAGGCCTGTCTCCAAGACTCATCTAGTTGAGGATTTGAATTTTTTTTTTTTTTTGCTTTTTACATCTTTTTCCTTGTAAACTTGTGCACATTGAACCCAGACTCCAAGGCAAAAAGCAATTTGCCCCAACACATTTAGGAAACAGTATCTTTTTGCTGAAAGACATGCACATTTTTAAGAGTAGGTTTGGGGTTTTTTCTAAAAATATCTTGGGAGTAAATGAATTTTTGCTTCTTTTAAATCTTGTCTCATTATCTGAAAAAATAATGTTATAAACACTAATTCTGCATTTGAAAGCTTGTGTGTTACATACTGGAGTAGTTCTGAACATAACGCATTTAAGTAATACACCAAGTATTGATCTGTTAGAGGTGAGAAAGCTATATCTGAAAGATACAGAGCTACAAAATAAGGTAGTCTTTCCATCAAATTTGAGTTAGCCACTCAAAATGTTTTTGAAGAACGGGCTTGATTCCAATTTTATTGCATTTATTTTTAAAATTATCACAAAACATAAATTTGAGATAAGAGGAATATAAAATCCTGAACCTTCAAATATTCTTTTCCCCCTGCTGACACTTGTACATTTACCATGACTTATGATTAGGTACGGTGTAAATTATTTTAGGCTTCACATTCAAATTAGTACTTCCATAATCCCATTACATACAGACACGGAGGCATTAAAAGTAGGCTATATATAATACATATAGCTGTATATAATACAGGATCTGCAAGGGAAGTTTTAGAAAATATTCTTTTTTAATTTAATCCAGAAACTCATTTGTCCAAGGTCTGTATCTTCTTAGACAGCAATGGGGAAACCAATGCCAGCCTCTGCTCCTCTGAAATCTTACAGCTCTGGAAGAGTTTCATTATGTCACAATTATTCTATAACTGAGGATGAAATACAGTAAGACATGCATCCCAAATAAGTACTCTTAAACAGCTATGATATGTATTGCAATTTTTATATTGCATGAAAACATTCTTTTCTACCACTATAGTAGTTTAGTAGTGAATTAGTAAATGCAACTATATAGCCGATTACATATATTTTTAGGCTTCCAATTATTCAATATACTAGGTGATACAAAAGTGGTGGGCAGAGAGAGAAGCTCTTCATTTCCCAGGAATATCCATAGGACATGTGACAAATTCATCAAGATTGAAGTACAGCTGTTGCCTAAAACACAGTGCCAAAACCACCACATTTTGGGAAAACTGATCCGCATAAACTAGTGGAAAAGGTATCCCAGCTGCTTTTGGCTGCCACAGTTAACTACCCTTCAGAATTCCTGCTGTGCACATTGCAATGACAGGTCTTTTGAAGCAACTCTGCCACCAGAGGAGAAAAGTTATACCCGATTTCACATAAACAAATCAAGCTATGTTTTAATGATGTGGTTAACTTTTAATAGAACTTGGGGAGAGGGGAACTTTTTTCTTCTCCTAAAACAACCTAGACTGAACAACCTAAACATCAGAAAAGTCAACCAACAGTACACAACTGCAGTTTAGAAGCTAGCTGTGTTTTTTTTCTCGATGTATAGAATTAAAATTGTGAGGCAATAGCTTTCACAAAATCAAAATGGGCTATTTTAAAGACACAGCTGAACTCTAAGATCAAAGCTGTCTGTCACCATATAATGAAAATACTCCTTCAGAACTGTACATTTATAAAGCACAATGGATGTTCATGGAAGAAATTTTGTTCTAAACCCTGTAAAAAGGCGACAAACAAGTAAGATGACAGCAGCAATACACTTTCATGAGAAGACTGGGGAAGGCAGGCCAGGGTACAGTTCAGGACTATGCAGGCCAAAGACACACATGGTAGATGAAGACAGGACAAGCCAGGCATGAACAAGCCCCAAGTATAAAGAAAATCCTGTTAATGCTCTGTGGATAAACAGCACAGGTATAGCTCAGCTCACATGCTGAAGGTACGCAGAGACGGCTACTGGCCCACCCGAAACCTTCTCCAGGCTGAACACACCCAGCTCCCTCAGTCTTCAAGTGCTCCAGTCCCCAATCACCTTGGTGGCCCTCTGCTGAGCACACTCCAGTTTACTGATGTCTTTCCTGTACTGGGGGCCCAGTATGCTAGATGCAGCTGAACAACTGCGGTAGTCTGATTGCTCAGGCTCCTGTTGTGCTTCTGTTCACGCAGGACAGCATGCTGCTGGCCTTCCCCGCTGGCTCATGCCCAGCTTCTGATCACCAGGACGTCCAGGTCCTTTTCAGCAGAGCTGCTTCCCAGCCAGTCAGTCTCCAGCCTTTATTGTCACAAGAGTTATTTCAGTTGCAGGAACAGGACTTTCCATCTGTCCTTCTTGAACCCCTCAAGCCTGTTGCTGGCCCATTCCTCCAGCCAGTCTACGTTCCTCTCAACAGCAGCTTGGCTCCAGCATAGCAGCTCCTGTGAAACTTCCCTCCTTCCTTGGTTACACCTCATGTTCTCTACGGCTACCTCGCTTCAAGTTCTCATTTTCCTCTTCAAAAATTCTTCACACCTGATACCTACAGTACTTTTGCCAGCTCACTTTCTGCAGCAGCCTTCTGGCCTGCAGTGAGTTGCTCCTGCTGCTTTCCCAGAACCCCACATAGCCCAGTTTGTCGAAGAGCTTTAACTTTTACATGGACCACAAAAACCTTCCCTGCTCCTACCAGAATTTAATCCAGATAGGAACATGAGTGTCATCACAACAAGTTAATCTTTCCCTTAAAAGTTATTTTTTCT